CGCCAGCCAAACTGGGGCTGACGACAGAGAGCTTGAGGCTGTATTCTCTGAAAACAGAAATTTACGGCACAGACTCATCATACTCTGGGCCAAGCAACTCTGAGAGGCTGGGGGGTAGGGGCGGGGGGGAGAGTACACAGGCAGCAGATGAGACAGACACGGCCCCGGGGGGCACTGTGCCTTTCGTGGGCCCCCTCCCCCATGAAAGTTATTAAAATGACATTTTACAACCCCTTTAGTAAAAAAGATGAGTGCAATCATGTCACATTTTAAAAATTTTTCTTTGACCTAAAGGTTCGTGTATTTTCTTCAGATATTTGTGTTGTTAATACTCACCCAGGGATATTTTTCCATTGGTTTTTAGAGAGAGTGGAAGGGAGGGGGAGAGACAGAGAGAGAGAAGCCTCGATGTGAGAGAGACACATCGATTGGGTGCCTCCCCCACACCCCTCACAAGGAACGGAATCTGCCGGTCCCTTGACCTACGACTCAGGGCCCCGGAGCTGTGAGACATGAACGTCCGTGGTTGAAACCCCTGGACTGTGCTGTTTGCTACTGTCCCCCCACCCCACCCCCCGTTGACTGAGACAGCGGGCACCTCCCCCTGTGTCTGCAGCCGCACATCTAGGTCGGAATCTGTGGCCGAGACTGAGTTCAAAGACAAGCCGGGAAGTGAGGCCCAGGGCAGCTCTATGGTTTTGACGAACATAGGAGAGAAAGTCAGGACTGGGAGCTTCCCCCTGCACCCCCCTGACTCTCCCCCCTCACCCCCGCCCTCAGCCCCGAGCTGGGGGTGGCTCATCCAGGCTGGGGCCCGGGAGGGGCTGCCCTCTGCTTGCCCGCCACAGCCCCTGGGCTTGGAACACAAAATGGGCCCCATCGACGGACTCCCTGTGGACCGCCAAGGCCTGGAGGGTTGTTCCGTCTGCGCTCCCTCGCCTGGTGACCCCAGCATCATTTAGCGATAACAGGCTGGAGGGCAGTCTGCGGTGATGGAATGAACTTTTCCTGCAGACTCAATTGACCCAAAGGCAGATCAAACGTGTGACCTCGGCCCTCGATCCATCAAAGTGAGCGCCCAGGCTGAGGCTGGAAGAATTCATCCGTGACTGTCCCCTGGCCAGGGGGCGGGTCCCTGTTCCATAGCAACCCTCCTCCCTCTCCTCCAAGGTGCACCGCTCCAGGAGGGACACAGCCCGTCCCTCCAGACCTAGGGACGGACATGAGAGCTTTGCTAATGATTGTGGCTTATCTGGACCTTCCACATTTTTCTATTTTACCCGCACAGACTCCTTCAGGGCCTTGGGGAATGGAGTGGGATCCTCTTTCCTACGGCTGTTTTTCAGCCACTTGAGGACTCAGGCACTTTTTTTTGCTGCTGGAGCCCCTTCTCTGGCCCTTCCGTGGAGAGTGGCCCCAGGTTTGCAGCCAGAGGGCTGTTTTTTTGTTTTGTTTTCTATTGATTTCAGAGAGGAAGGGAGAGGGAGAGAGAGATAGAAACATCAATGATGAGAGAGAATCATTCATCGGCTGCCTCTTGCACGCCCCCTACTGGGGATCAAGCCACAACCCAGGCATGTGCCCTGACCCGGAATCGATCTGTGACCTCCTAGTTCATAGGTCAATGCTCAACCACTGAGCCACACCAGCCGGGCTAGACGGCTCTTTCTAAAATGCAAATCAGACCCAAAGCTGAAAGGCTGGCTCCTTCAGTGACTCCCAAGGCCTCGGGTTCAAGGCCCTTCCCTAGCCAGCTCCCAGCCGCATGCACCTCTCTCAGCAGCGGACCTGCCCGAGAACCAGGAGTGGCCTCCACGGGGACCGGGCTGCTTCTGCTGGGAACAGGGTCCCCACCGCCGTGGCAGCACTCCGCCTGTCCGCAGCTCTGTCTCACTCCGTCCTCCCAGAGACTTTCCTTGACACCCAGGCCGGGCGGGAGGGAGCGGAGTGGTCTGGTGGCAGCTCTGCACACACCTCCATCTCCCACACTGTGTGGTGTAACTGCCCATCGAATGGTCACTTTCTGCTCTTCCTGCTCTGTCTTAGTTTCCTATTGTTGCTACAAAGTTACTAGCTTCAAACAGCAGGCATTTCTTATCTCCCGGTCCTGGGGGTCAGAAGGCCGGAATGGCTCTCACTGAGCCAGATCGCGGTGCCAGCGGGTCTGCCCTCCCGGTTCTAGGGCAGAGTTCGTGCCCTTGCCCCTCCAGCTTTTAGAGGCCACTCGCTTTCCTTGGCTCATGGCCCCACCCTCCATCTTCAAAGCCAGGAGGGTAGCATATTGGAATCTTCAGATTCCCCCCCCCCCCCCCCCCCCCCCACCAAGAGCAATGGAGAGGGCAGGACACACCGGCTCATTGCTCCTGGGGCTGAGTGGCAGCAGCTGTGGGCCAGTGGGGCTCCTCCTGCCCTCCACCCCCTCCCAACACCATGGTCCCCAGCTGCCAGGCCCCCTCAATAGCATCCCAACAGCCTGGAACCCCTGTGCCCAGCTCCTTAGGAACAACCACCTTGAAGGAGGGGAGGCGTCAGGGACCTGGGGCAGGACACCTGGGGCCTTGAGCACAGGCCACCCCTGTCCCGGGTGCCTCACAGCACGGTCCTCCTGGGAAGAAGGACTGCTCCCTGGTGTCCTACAGCCACTTAGCAACAGGATTTGAACCGGGCCTGGCCGATGCCACCCTCTCAGGGTGCCCGAGTGGGGAGTGAGGCGGATGCACAGAGACCGGAAAGGAGGGTGTGGCCACATTCTGCCCAGCAGAGCACTGGCCGGGGTTGATGAAGGCCGGGAGGTTGGGCACAGTGGCCTCTGCCAGTTCCCGGCGGCCGGAGGATTCTAGAGCTCCTGCACCCCTGCTTTCCGGAGCAGTTCGTGTGTGAAGGGAAGGGGGCCGGTGATGACTCAGGGAGCCTGCAGCTGGAGGTGGATGCGAGGCTCATGATGATGGTGATTAAAACTGACACCACCGTGTGCGTAGCGACCCACACCTGCACTCGGCAGCCACCAGGTCATTAATCAGCGCAGACACGGGGCTGGGATGAGCTCCGGGCACAGAAGAGCAGATTGTGAGGGTCCAGAGGGGACGCCCCGGAGCCCCCCTCCAGGGCATTGCCAGACAGTGGGCGCCGGCTCACCTGGGAGCCTGAGGTGGTCATATACTAGTAAATGGGGGAAAGGGGGTACAGCCCCCCTGGTCTGAGCAAGACAGAGGGCCTGCGGGTGGGAGACCAGGGCAGGCTCCCAGTGGACACTAATCAGCTGAGGGACCTTGGCAGTCACCCAGCTTCTCTGTGTCTCTATTTGCTGATCTGTAAAAGGGGCCAGGTCTTCTGGAACTGAGTCTAAGTGAAGACGAATTTGTTTCCCGGGGCTGCCCACAACGGTGGTGGCTCAAAACCACAGACATTGATTGTCTCACAGTTCTGCAGGCCCGAGGTCCGGGATCAGGGTGTGGGCAGGCCCAGGCCGCCCTCCTGGGTTCCCGCGCTGGCCGGCCTTCCTTGGCCTCCCGCGGTCAGCGGCTGACCCGTCTCCTCCTGGAACCGTGGGCTTCTTCTCTCGGCCTCTGCTGGGTGTGTCACCTCTCCCTCTTGTCCTCTGTCTAGGACTCGCCCTAATTCCAGGGTGATCTCACCTGGAGATCCTTACCTACCTCTGCAAAGACCCAACTGCCAAATAAGGTCACGTTCAGACCGGGGTGGGGATTGGACTCTCTCTCTTTTGGGGTAGAGGGTGGGGGTGAGAACAATTCAACCCACGACAGAAGGCATTCATTTTGCAGAAGCAAAACCCAGGAATGTCAGGCACTGTCATTCTTAGGATGCACCCTCGGGAGGAGGGCATCCATCGTGAGGCTTCCTCCCCACACCTGGCCAGGCACAGAGGGGGGACGGGGGTCGGGCGGAGGCGAGACCTTGGCCAGAGGAGGGAGGATGCTACGGAGAGTCCCCCTCGGCCCTCACGGTGAACGCTCCGGCCAGCAGGCTGGGAGGACCTCCTCCCAGCTTTTTCCAGTCCCTCCACTGGCTTCCTTCTTGATAAAAACCAAGTCCTCCAAGGCTCTCCCGGCCCCGGTCCTGCTCACTTCTCCAGTCTCATCCCCATCACGGCCTTTCTATAAACCCTCGACTGTCCCCTCAGCCTGCGTGTTGCTGCATGGCCCAGTGCCTGGTAGAGCGGGCCCCTCGTCTGGAATGTTCTCTCTCATTGTCACCAGACTCTCCCCCAAGAGCCCTCCCTGCCACCCCTCTCTGCCCCTTACCAGGATCACACTGTCGCCAACCACCCCCTTGTATAATTGTGCTGCTGAGTGTGCCCCCACAGGCCCCTCGTCTGGAATGTTCTCTCCCATTGTCATCAGACCTTCCCCCCGAGAGCCCTCCCTGCCACCCGTCTCTGCCCCTTACCAGGATCACACTGTCGCCAACTACCCCCTTGTATAATTGTGCTGCTGAGTGTGCCCCCACTTGACTGGGTGGCCCCCGAGGGGCAGGGACACAGTCCTTTGTCTGGGGGTTCCCGGTCCCTGGTATAGAGAGAGGCTCCTCGGGTGTTCATAGAAGGAAATCATCAAGAGACGTGGATTTTGCCCGGCTGGCGTGGCTCGGTGGTTGAGCATCAACCTATGAACCAGGAGGTCACAGTTCAATTCCCGGTCAGGGGCACATGCCCAGGCTGTGGGCTCGATCCCAGTGAGGGGCCGTGCAGGAGGCAGCCCATCAGTGATTCTCTCTCATCATTGATGTTTCTATTTCTCTCTCCCCCTCTCCCTTCCTCTCTGAAATCAATAAGAATATATATTTTTAAAAAGAGATGTGATTTGAATTCCATTATTGCCACCCCCCAACCACATGCCCTTGGCTTTGCTGAGTCTCCATTTCCTCCCCTGCCTGCCTGCCTGCCAGGTGAGTGCGGGCCTTAGAGGAGCCTGTGTTGACCGATGAGCGTCTTCTTGGACTAATCAGGGCACACAAATAGGGCATCTCTCCAGGGACCCCCACCCGAGGCCCCCAGCTCTGCCCTCGGCCGTCCTGGGAATGTGGCTGGAGGGAGGCCCACGCTTCCGGAAACTCTGGCTCCCCTCCCTGCTCCTCCCGGCTCCCTGGCCTCGGGTGTACCTCTCCAGCTGTTTTCCTTTCGGATCGGAGTTCCAAAGAACAACAAACCAGGAGCACAGGCCCGGGAGCCAGGAGCCAGCAGGCTCCTTCTTGTTGGCCCAGCTGCGGGCCTGCAGGGGCTGCCCCTCTGCCTGCGGCGAAGGAGGGCATTTGGGTTCTGTGGGCCTGGGCTCCCATTGACTCAAACACCAGCTCCAGTTAGTGGGAAGCCAATGAGGGGGCCCGCGCCGGGGGAGGGGCCGGGGGAGGCCTGTCCCAGTTAGAGCCCCACAAAGCTCCTTTGAAAGCAAGTTCAGATGTCCCCAGGCCAGGGGGCAGGGGAGGGGGGTAGTAATAATAATAAAACAACATTTGCATAGAGATTTCGGGTACAAAGCACTTTCTCAGGGGCGGGGAGGCGCTGGGGTGGCCCCGCCGAGTGCTGGCGGGGAGGCCAATGGAGCCTGGATGGGTCCCACCCCCAGCCCAGCGTGCGGTCGTGCGCGAGGCAGCGAGGCAAACAAAGCGCCATTCATCCAACTTTTTCCGATTCCTCCGAGTTTCAGCGTCGCTTCCCGCTCTCCCAGGAGGAGCTCATTGGGGCCTGTCACTCAGGGCAGAAAAGGGGTGTCAGGAGTCCCGGAGGGAGGGGTTGGCTGGGGCCCGAGGGGAGGGAGGGGGAGGCAGGG